CTGCAGCCACTCAAAGTTAACCTTTCGAGTTTTGGTGGGAAAGTAAAGTTCACTGGAAGAGGATCCTGATATTTTACATAAGACTTCCCAAAAAAGAAGCATTTCAAAACTTCAAGTTGAAGAAAATGAACAAAATTGTCAAAACAATAGGATGACCACTCAGTTCGCCCATCATGCTTGTACGAAATTACAAATTTCTTTAGGTTCGGCATCATTTCAATGACCTCCTTTGTCCATATGAAGTTCATAACATTGGTAAGTGTTTGTAGGTTTTCCAAGATCGAAATAGTTCCCCCATTTAGTGCATTAGTAGGATAAGGCAAGAAACTTCTCACGAACGAGATATGCCTCAATTGTGACATCTTCCAGATTTCCAGTGGTAGGAATGATGTATTAAAGATCGATCTAAGTTTCCGTGGATTAAGAATTAACGTCTCAAGATTGCAAAGTTTGGATATTGACGAAGGAATCCTATGCTTTGCCCAGTAGGTCAAAGCAATAAACCTCAAAATCTCCAGTTCTACTACTTCGACGGGAAACTCACCAAACCATATTGTGAGTGCATCCAATATCCTCAGCAGCCGAAAACTCTTGACAAAATGTATATCATACAGGCCATTGCCAAAAATATAAATAACAGAGCGGATGCGCAAATCACGATTGTGTACAAGATCAAATTTGGGTATTTGATTCTTCAATTCTGTGAGAATACTAACATGACGAAGATTGTCATGGACTTCTGGAAGATTCTCAACGTCCGATTTGAAATTTTCCTTAGTTTTCATCAGGCAGAAGTCCCTCAGGACATCATGGATACAGCAGGTTTTGATTTCACCACTACAGGTCCACTCACGAACCATAATCAGATTTCTATCAATAAAATCTTTTAGATACTCCTCTGCGACCTCTTCCAAGCTTTTCGATCTATAGAGGTGAAAGTGAAAGTGGAAGTCTATCGCAGTTCTTTGCAATCACCATACCTAATGTCACCAATTCAAGAGGACACATTTCTTTATCAAACACCAAATGTTGCAGCAGATTCCAGCATTCTTCCAGAGTTTGAAATCTCATATAATGAACGTAGCAATCAGGATCAGCATACCGAGCCACATCATGTGATCGAGTTGTCAACAAAATCCGGCTTCCATTACTGTCATGTGGAAGCAAACTTTTGGCTTTTAACACGATTTCTCCATCCCACACATCGTCAAGGACAATGAGGCACCTCTTCCCCTTCAAACTTTTACATAGTTTCTCAGCTAATTTTTCTACGCTTTCTTGGCTTGATTCATGATTGGGGCCTCTTATGGAACTCAGAAGGCGACT